ATATATATATATATATTGTATTTCAAAGTTATGATCACACGAATCTCGAGCAAATTTAACAGATTGCACTATAAAAATATCAAAGGACTGCATTAGATGAGTCAAAAAACAAAAGTGTCAAACATCATTTCGTTTAGTCAAATCTTGAGTCTATCGAAGGAAAGCATATCCGAGCAAGGAAAGCATTATGGACATGATATAATGGACGGTCATATTTCATCAATCTACTGTACCAAATTCGGAGATCCCTTGCACAGAGAACTAATGGTCACACCGTAAATAACCTTGGCAACCCTCCATGAAAACCTCGTCCCAAGAAAAGTTGTCTGTTAGATTACAGTGGCACACCCTTTACTTTAACAGTCTAAGTTCATTTTAAAGATAAGGTCTCTGCGAAGGGTTCATTGTAGAAGGCCGCTCAAGAACCTTTCAGCCAACTGAGGAACTCTTAGACGACCGGACGAATTTGAGCAGACCGAGCGATTTGTAGACAACTGAATGTTAGCATCGGTGGATCATTAATGTTTTGTCTCAAACACTTATGCCACGTGGTGCCAACGGCGGCCACGAATATCAAAGAAACTCAATAGTTAGTTAGAAATAGGTATAATTGCACTAATCACGTATAACGTTCCTATTTAAACATGAAAAAATATGTAAGTTATTGGACACTCTATATAATTAATATATGTGGGGTCATTTCTTGAAGAAGGGGCTACCAAATCTATTATGAAAAAGCTAGTGTTATGGTGCACTTTGTTTCTAATTCTTTTTCTTTACTCCTCTCATATGTCAAACACTCTATCCCTTGGGTGTGACCCACATAACATTTTGGGATTAACATCATAAAAGGCGCAATGAACGTTGAGTCATGTTGTCGAAAAGAAGAGGAGTGTGTCACGAAGAAGATACCCATTTGTGGGAAACTCATGGATTCCATTAGAAATTTTGTAATTTAAGAACTTTAAGGCTGAATAGTGAGGCAAATGGCAGAACTGAGTCACATTGTGCTTGAAGGGAGAACACAAGCTCTTCCAAAACCAAATCCTCGAGCATTTGAGCGCCAAGGCCACCGGATGGCTCAGAAAGATGACGAGTTGAAGAATCCTCGTATCAAGGTAGTGCTGGGTCCATGTCGAGGAATAAGCCTCAAGAAGGGCTAATCGAAGCCTACCACCGAGTGGAGAATACATTCTCTTGGCAGATTGTTGATGCAGAACCTCTTCGAGAAGTTCAAGGTTCCATCTATGGAGCCCTACAAGGGCCGAACAAACCAAACGAGCACAATGCATACTTGGAGTTGGCTATATGCCTTATCAAATTTTTCATCGCATTGAAGTGTCAACTATTCTACACCATGATGAGGGATTTGGCCCTCAGATGGTTCATTAGACTCCCAGTGAATTATTACTTCCTTTGGCAAGCTCAAGAAGCTTTTGACGATGCATTTCACTTGCACCCAAAAGCCCCTTAAGAACTTATAAGCTCTATATCACGTCAAATAAGGTGCAAATGGAAGTCTCGAGATGTACGTCATGCGGTTTCATAAGGAGATGCTGGAAGTGCAAAACTATGAGCTTGTGATAGCAAAGGTTGCCTTGGCACAAGGACTGAGGAGTGCCCAATTTAAATTCTTCTTGGGTTTACGTAAACCCAATACTTTGGCAAAACTTCTGAAGTTAGCTAATGATCATATTGTGGTGGAGGAATATATAAACCCGCATGTTTCAAATTGCAAAAAATCTGACCACCTCTCAAACCAAAAGGCTTGCGAGATGACTGGTGGAAGGAGAAGGATAGCTCTCCCCCATAATAGAAAAGAATTCAGTCATCTCATGGTGATAAAGAGGTCGACCAAAATTCACTAACATTGAGTCGATCAAACAAACAATCAATTGGTGATTGAGGAACACCCAAAACCCAATCAAGTTTCAATGGCAGAGTTGTTGGAATCTATTCAAGAAAATGAGTACTTTAAGATGCTCCACCATTGAGAACTAGAGCTTTCGTGTGCAATACCAACAAATTCTGTAAGTATCATAAATACCATGGTCATGATAAGGACGAGTCCAATCACCTTCAAAACTTGGTTGAAAAATGGATTCGGGCTAGAAAGCTCAAGGGCTTTGTTGCGTATGGTGCACAAACCTAGCAGTTGAGGAAAGCACATGTAGAAGATGGCTCAGATGAGCCCATCCAAAAAAAAAATGGTATCCACACTTTGGGGATAGTGCCAGCTATACATGGGGCAAACTCAATCAGAAGAGTAGACTCTAAGAGACTCTGAATAAGGAAATACTGCATTTTTTTATGTGTGGATAATTAGTCTATCAAATTGGATTATTTTTATAAATTTTATTGGTGAAATTGCACTGTAAAAAAATGTATTTTGTATATATTTTGCAAGTAATAATAGGTGTTTAAAGTTGTGTAGCATGAAAAGACATGAAACTGAAATTGTTACTGGGCGCCCAGGTGCCCAGACATTGGCACCCATGCCTCAGAAAAATTGTAGAAAAGAGCTAGAACCCAAGATCTTAGCACTTAGGCGCTAGTTAGTGGGTGCCTAGGTCCTACGACTATGGCATCTAGGCACTAGAACTTTGGGCTCTTAGGCGCCCATTACCCATTCCATAGACGAAGAGCTTGTAGCCTAGGTGACCAGCCTTTGGGCGCCTAGGCGCCAGCAACTGTAACCTGCAATTGTAACAGTTCAAGACTCTCAACATGGAGAAACATGCAAAGGCATGGGGGATTGTGGAAGTTTAGGGAAGGAAGCTAAAAATAATAGGGAATTGCAGGGCTAGATGAGATGGATGTTGGGTTGATACTTGGTGGTTTTTGTTGCTTGTTGAAGTCCAAATCTTTTACCCATGCAAAGAAGACGAGTGGTACAGTGCAAAAGCGTGGAGAGTCGGGGAGATTGTTGTTTATTCATTTGTTGGTCATTGTAAAGGAGGGAAAGCTTAGTCATTTGTTATACTTTATTTTGTTTTTTAGCTGTAAAGTATGATATTGGAATTCTCTTTGAAATCAATGAATCTTATTGATGATTTAAGCATGGTTATTGATTAAGCTTTTTATTTTTCCTTGTGTTGACTAAGTTGGATGAAATGAATTAGATTAGCTGAGTAATTTACTTAATATGTATGTGATGATTAACCCTCAGAACTTAATTTACATTTCATTATGGTCAAGTGATTTGTTAAAATATGTTGTGAACTATAAGTCTTGGGAAAGATTATAATGGAATCAATTAAGTTAATCACATTGACCTATAATAGTGATATATCCTATAAAGAGATTTAAATATTATTGAAATATGCAATGATGGGTTAACTATGGGATTTATGGAAATAAAATCATTTCTAACCAAACTTTTTTATGCATCTATAAATGTTTCTATTTATTACTAAGCAATTCTACTTGCAATACTTAATTCTATGAAATCTACTTAACTCGTTTTAAGAAAGAACAACTAAAGTATTTGACACCTTTCAATTTACCTGTGATACGTTGGGATTGTTTTTGTAGGCCTTAACAAAATCCAACATTCAGGCAAAGACTAAAATCTGTAAGTTAAAACTTTTCCTAGTAAGAATTACCTCGTTTTCTGTAGGATCAACACTCAAGGCTCTAATTCCAATATTATTGATACGACACAGGCACTTGGGTGAGCCACCAGTGCATTACAATAGTGGTGGGTGTCATTGTTGCTTTTGCCTAAAAGCAATAGCCTCATCCCCCAATAATCTTCACTGATGCAGCATTGTCTTCTATAGCAAATTTTTACAAAAACTTCATAGTCATTACAACGATGATCAATAACTAATAGGTAGGTATTATATTTTTTGATGCATGTTCAAATTAGATTGTGGGTAAATGTACCTATGAGTAGATCTCCGGGTTGTATTGACTGACCCACTGTATGGGTTTTGCATTAAGTGAAAGGTGGCCCTAGATATAATTGGATTGTCACTCACCTAGAGAGAATGTGGCAATCAACTTACTAATGTGGAAGGCTTTTTGGTGGTTGATACAACATAATGCACAACGCGATCTTTGATCACATGTGCTTAATTATTTCAGAGTTGTGGTATCTACCTATCACGTGGTGATGAAGTTCCCGCACGATGAAGAAATAACGAGTATTCATTGAAACCTTGAGCAGTCTCGAATGTGCAACCTCTCGACAGTCAATATTGTAGAGCAAGAAACATTGGACATCCAACACAAATGAGAGAGGGGTCTTGAATCTGACAAACCTACAATAAAGAACCTCAATTCTCTCCTTAAACTAGTAAAATTTTTCTAATTTGTAAAAGTTTTGATGCATGGCATAAAGACTTGTTGATCCAGACTCTCCAAAATCATTGAGATGCTTTAGCTGGTAGGGCGCTGAGATGCTAAGCATCCTCATAGACGTAGCTTGCAATTGCAACAATGTCGTGCCAGTCACCTGTTTGTTAAAATAAAACATTAGAACTCTGCTATGACTTTGGCCATATTGATATTTGATGAGGTACAAAAGCTAAAAAAAGTGGGCTACAACCGGGAGGTGCAATATCC